AAATGCTAAGGCTTTTAAAGATTGGTTTGTTTCTCAAAGGAGTGTGTATGTGTAAATCAAGGTCTTTGACTGTGCAAGCATGTTCATGCCACTTTTTCTGCCTTGGAAACTGAAACTAAATGAAGAATCTAAATCGTTCATTGTTTTGAGAATAGAAGCCTGTCTTCACCTCAGGTTTCCTTATTCTGCTTCTGTCTAAAGCATTTTGCTTGCGGATATTTTTGCTGACTTTTAAATTCTTTTTTTCTACATTTTATACTGGTCATTTGCAAGTTGTGTACTCTTACATTTTAATGAGTCAGTTGTATAGATATGTAATGCAAATATGAAAACCCTGACTGCAGAGGCAGTCCTAGAATCTGAAGTTTAATTTGAATTGATTTTTAACTTGTCACTGCCACTTGAAATGTATTGATAAATTCAATGATTTTAGCTTCTGTTTCATCTGTTAAATTGCATGTTTTATCAACTTCCTCCTCAGTTTGGTTATTTAATCAAAGTCTAAGGCTCTTAAACTGCCTTCTGAAAAATAATATAAACTAATGCACCTATAATGCAGTTTGCATAACTTTTAAGAACTTGACCCTTTCATTTACATTAATCAAGCAGGTTTCTACTTACAAATCATAGCCTGAGAAATAGTATTAATATGTTTAGATATTTAAAAGGTTATATGAGATTATGTTCTCCATTGTGACTGAGGCACTGTATGAAGGAAGATGGACTTTGTCTACCTGATTATGAACCCAGCTGCTTCTCCCAGATATCTCTGGCTTAAAGTAGATTTTTTAAATTTGCTGGACCAGTTTGTTTTACAATACAATAAAGGCAGTAAACCTAGTTTTCCTAAATTATCATTTTTACTTAGTGGACAAAGTTTTTAATAATTGACTCAACTCTATCTGCTGTTTATTGTTAAACTGTTCTTTTCAAGAATTCTCAGTAGTGATCCATAGGATTTTGTCTTGTGGTGCTTTGAGCACATATCTGAAATTTACCCTAAGGCACTGGAATACTTGGAAGGAATCTAAATACACAATTATGTTAATATATTTACTTTACTGACTGTGGCAGTTCGAGCCACATCAGAAATTCAAAATCCAATTTCCAGGCTTCCCCCCACCCCTTCCCACAATTTATCTCAACACCGGAGAGAAACTTTCAGGCCAGAGGCTTCTATAGGGGAAGGGGGAGTATATACATTTATTTACACAAATAAATATACTGGTCAAACTAAAAGCAACTATATATTTACATTTCTGTCGGTCCTTTTAAGCCCCTCCCTCTAACTTTAGTCCAGGAGCAGCCTTTCAAGGCTGATATGTAACGCAGTCTCTCTCTCGTGGGAGTGTTCTGGGCCCAAGCGCTCCCCCCTCACCAAGCTCCAGCTGTTTGTTGCAGTTTTTCTTCTTCACGAAGTCCAAGAAGATAGCTTTGAGTCTTTTATTTCGGTATGCTGTGTGATTTCTGCTGTGTGATCTCTCTCTCCTAATCTCATACCTCGGTTCGTAGGTTGCTGCAGTGTAGTTTAGCTTATCAAGCGTCTGCGTCCTGGAATGTTGATTCCTCCTCGGGTTTCCAGCTGTCCTCCATTTAGATCACAGCAGAGACATCCCCCAGGCCTCTCTTCAGTCCGTCTCCAATTTCGCCTGGGATTCCTTTCCCGAGCGCCGAGCTGATTTGTTATCAACCCGTCCACTTGGCTCTGCTTAAATGCTGAGCCTTAAAACCCACCCCCCACCAGCCTAAATGCAGTGTGGGGGGGAAAAAGCCCCCTAGCCTTGACCACAGGCACTCGGTCCAGTTATACACTGTCCCAAGTGTCCCGCAGCTGCAGGGGGCGGGGAGAGGGCCTAGCCTCCTCCCTCTTACCTCTCAGGTGATGTGAATTTCTTCCTTCACAGCACACACTCCAAATGCTGCCTCTAACTCTGGCCTAGGCAGAGTTGGGGGGGGCTGCAGGGCTCCCCTCTCCCCCCCGGAGGGGGAAGAAGGAGCCCAGTCACCCCCTGGCCTTCCACACCTACACGCAGCAGACACCAACAGCACAACACTGCCAACAGCTTTCAGTGCTGTGTATATATGATTTTAAGCAGAAGCGAACAACATGGACGGTGATTGGCTCTCCAGGGAACACTGCCTTGGCACCCAATCACCTCTGAGCCCCCCCCAACTCTCAGAGGGGGGCCAATTTCAAACCATGACACTGACATACTGTAAACATTTTTAAAAGATATATATATAGTAATTAAAACCTGACTCCGATATCAAAGCATATTGACACTTTTACTCAGTCTTCAGTTTCCTGGGGGGGTTGTTTGTTTATATTACTATCCCTAAATTGTAGTCAAAGGAAATAACTTCCTTTAACAAGTAGAGTTTTCAGATGAATTCTAATATAAGAATTTTGGTGAAAATATTTAAGATCTATGAAAGAAATTTCCTTCTGTCAGTTATATGCATAATACATAAATAGCTATTTCTAATATTAAACTTAAGTGGAGCTCTCATCTCCAAAAGTTTGAACTAGTTTTGTTTCTTATGCTCTAGGAGGGTCCTAATAGTCTGATTAATGAAGAAGAATTCTTTGATGCTGTTGAAGCTGCTCTCGATAGACAGGATAAAATGGAAGAACAGGTATTGATACTTGAAAAATATGTTGATGATGGGCACTTCATGGAAGACTTCTGTGACTTAATCACTCCTGGGGTGCATCTCCTGAAACTAGATATTTTATAGTTACACTTATAAGTGGGATTCACTACTTAATATTTATACGGTTAAATATCATTGCTTAACACTAATTTTGAGAAAGTGATTTGACAACTTGCATAGAAAAGGATAGTATAAGTGTTAATTGATTGTCTCTGGTTTCTAACTCCTAAATAAGTGTATTAGTCCTGTATAAAACTTATCTTTATATGTAACTGATGCCCTGTGCAAATAAGAATATATAATACTGCAGATTTTTTTCAAAACCTAAGTTTCTTTTGACTGTAGCAGTATGTGAAATAGGAAAGACATAGTTCTATTGGTTTTTGGTTTTGTTTAAAAATTGTGTAAACTCTGGCTATTTCTCTAACTCATTTCTTGAATACACTTCAGTGACAAGGATCAAAAAGGGATAAGATGTGTGTGATGGAATATATAGAATATGAGAACAAATAGTAGTGTATAAAATGAGAGGGAATAGCAAAGTGGTGCCTCCTTTGTCTTAAAAGGTTTTAGGTTTATGAATATAGTGAATACAATGACTTAAGAATTATAAGACTTTCTAGTGAACATATAATACCCAGCAGAGCTTATCTATGTTGGGGTCTCTTAGAGGAAAGTATAAGTTTAGAGTGACTGTTGTACTACTACATGGATGCAACATCTGTAATGCTGCCAATCTATTTTGCTTAACATAGAAATATACCTTGAAGTATAGATGAATGGGTAATTCAGTCTCTAGGCCCATTTTCTTCCTGAGAACTCCAGTAGAATGACGACAACATGTCTGTCATGGACAGCACTAGTTGTTGTAACTGCTATATAGATTGAAGGTGCCTCACTCTTTCATAGTCCATCCAGTAGCAGCTGACTACCAGTAATGAAACCTATTTTGTTGCAGTCCCAAAGTGAAAAGGTCAGATTATACTGGCCAATATCCTTACCTTCTGGAGATGCATATTCTGCTGTGGGTACTCATAGATTTGTCCAAAAGGTAAGATATTTCTCATGATCTCCTCTGTATAATTTGTATATTTGTATATTTTATATGGATAGGTAAGATTGATTTATTTTTTTTAAATTATTTTTTAGGTGTTTCTAGTATAACTTTCAGTGGTTTACTCATTTTCAATTGAAGTAGCTGGAATTGGAGAAGGACTGTTTTCTGTCTTGGCTAAAAAAAATCCTGATTTCAGTATCTATTTAGAATACTCTTGATTTGTATCAAGCTGGTCAGTTAGAAAATATATTAAAAAAAAAAACCAACTTGCTAACCTCAGTGTTTTTAAGATACCTTCACCAAAATTCATTCAATTGATGGAAAAAAAAATCCAGTCTCTTGCATTAAGATCAATTGACTTTTTTTTAGTGTTAATGGAAACACTATGCTTTTTTTAGGGCGGCACTGGGAGCATAATACATAATAGGTGCATGAAATCAGCATTTGCCGCTGTGCTTGCTGCTTATGGTGCTTTTGTTTTCATTTTCTTCATTATCTTGTGCTTACAAGTTGGTACTGAATGCTCTGTTGTGCCTTTGTTCTGATTACTTGGTTTTTTCTTTGTCTGTCTCTGGTAGCCCTATAGTCGCTCTTCCTCCATGTCTTCCATTGATCTAGTCAGTGCCTTTGATGTTCACAGATTCAGCACCCAGGTACTGTATTAATGTGTAGAGTGGGGGTTGCGTATCTTTGCTGCATTTCATCCTCTTCTCTAGAACCTGGGTTTTTTGTTACATAAATCACTGTTTGCTTTAAACTAGTATGCTGAGACCAAAAAAAAGGAGTTATCTATTTCTATATTAAATGGTTGTCTTTTTACATTCTGCTTGCATGTATATTACTTGTGCAGAGGCCCAAATCTTGTGAAACTGTTGGATCAATTTCAGTAGCTTTAATAAAAGTACCTACAACTTGAAAATTTTACATTTCTGATTATAATAAAAGTAATAAAATATCATCTGTTTTGCATGGGCTGGAGATGGTCTTTGCTTCAAATTGAATAGTTTTTCATGGTTTTAAAGCAAAGGTTTAATTTTGTCTTTAAAATTTGTTGTTACTTGTAATAACTTTAAGATACCAAATTTTAAGGTTCTCTATTATAATTATTTACCTTTACAACTAGTTTTATTACCAAAAGGTCATAAAGTATGTTGTTAAAAAATGAGATTATGGATATGAGAACTTTTACTGAAGAATTCCAATATATTCAATTATCCTTCAGAAAGTGTCTGAAATCCTGAATAAGTGAATTTAGTTGTAGTGACATATTCTAGTAATGTACAAAATTACTCTAGCTGCTTGCTCTGAAGATCATAGAGTTGAATTAGATAAGTAAGTTCATGTGTTTCATCTTTATTCTCAAAAAAAAAATCATTCAGACATAGCATTCATGCCTTCTGCTGTGGTCCATATGATTGTGAATATGGGTCTTCCTTCTGGGATCTGTTGTTTTGGGGTTTGTTTGTTTGTTTTTAAATTATTAACTAACACTGCAAACAGACTGCTTTTCAAATAGAAGGAATGGATTTTCTTTTGATTAATAGAACCTGGAATCATGCTACCTGCATACCTTGCCACCAGCTTTGTGAGCAGAACCCTAACACTTAAGGACTTGCTTGTTGGACTGAAATCCCAACACTTGCCTTGACTTATTGCAGTCAGTTAATTTCTGGAATTTGAACTTCTCACAAGGGGAAAAAAGTATGCAGGTCATATTGCTCAACACTAATAGGCTGATCTACTGGTACTCCAGTAGTCACGTTAGTAATTCAAGTTTGGTTTTGTTTGGGAGGAGGGGGGAAATCAAGTAATAGAAAGCAAATTTGATTCTAAAGATAGAAAATTGGTTGTCTATCAGGCTACATTGCCAGTTCAATGTAAGGGAAACGCATAGTCATTAAAATACGTGAACCTTTTCATTTCCATCTCTTATGCCTGGGATAACATTTGTGGACCCATATGGTAAACCCGAGTATCAGACCATTAGCGTGGCTGAAAACCTAATCACTTAAAAACAAATCTGAGGTTGATCAGGTCCTTATCACAATAATGCAAATTGACATTAAAGTTCGGGTCAAATGGACTGAATTATGGGGTCAAGGTGTTGCTCTTTCCAGCAGCTGCAGGGATTATACTATGTAGAAGCTACTACCCAGTGTCTTAGGATGTGATTTCAAGTTAACTGACTCACTACAGAAAGAATGATCCTGCTAACTTAAAAGAAACCTACTCCCCTCTGCCCCCTTCTTTCCCCATATCTTCCCTAGAGCAAACTTGCCAGTTCAGTAAGTTGCTCCACCTGCTCTGGAGCTTCATTGCTAGCTAACAAGCAGGTGAAAGACAACTGAGAGCATGAAGAGAAAAGCAGCACACCTTTTGGTGACAACCTGCTGTAGACCTTATTATTAGGAAATTGTCCTCTGTCCCCAGGCTGAGGATTTGACTTTTGGAAAGGCAAGCTAAATCTTGATTCTGAACAAATGAGACTTGCTTCTAGACTTCATTTATATGAAGGAAATCTTGGTAAAAGGTCAAGTAGAAACTTGCAGCTTTGTTTTTAAGATTGATAAGCATAAACATATTCTGACGGGAGCTGGTTCTTCAATGTGCTTTCAGAAAGGCATTGATTTGTCTCTGCCAGTTGAGTAGGAGGTTGTGGACTTAAAATGCTGCAAATGTGTTGCAGATCACTTTCTCCTTTTAAAAGACTATCAGACTTTAAAATAGATTGAGATGTTCTGAGGGCCTTTTAAATGAACTGCCCATTTAATGTTCAGACCAAGACTGCGTGGGATAGAGGTACTTTTGCAGACCATTCCTGTAGTCTGCCAGGAACCCAGAGGTAATAGTGTAGCCACCCCACTGGGGAAGAAGCTGTGAATTTTGACTCTGTGCCTAATGTGGTACCTGAAATAGGTACAGGCTGTCAGTGACCAGCAGGTAGATCACAGTTTGGACAGGTAGTATGCAAAAAGCAGTTGTAGGCACTGCAATTACTTGGTCAAATAGAAGTAATTGTTAGCAAAAACAACATTCGCTCTCCTCTGAAAGCTGCAATGATAATACCTCTCCTTTCCCAAACCTAAGGGGAAGTTTTCTGAAAGATGTATTAGCAGGAATGAAACTTTATTGGGAGAGAGAGGGAAAAAAAACCTAAAAAATACCTTTCACGTTTTCAGAGGAAGTCAGGGGGCTAAATGCTGAACAATTCCAAAGGCCCTAAACTGTTTAGATTGTACTCTCAGGCACATGGTGTGATTCTTGGGGTTGTCCTGTGCAGGAGTTGGACTCAATGATCCTTGTGGGTCCTGTCCAACTCAGGATATTCTATGATTCTCTGATACTCCTGTCAATGCTTCATTCTCTTCTTTCTTTGCTATTCTCCTCCTCCCTCTGCATTTAGCATAAAGCAAAAAGCAGCAAAATACAAAACAAACACATACAAGCCAGCTTTGTCCCTAATAGATTAGGAGCTAGGGGAGGAGATAGAGACTGTAAAGGTGTTGCAGGTAAAGTTGGGAGCATAGTGAGGATTCCCTTCTGAAAGAACTGTGACCTAGAGCTAGTAAATTGAATATTTAAATAGCCCACATTCTTACCTGGCTTGGATTGTACTGTGTCATTGTATCACTGGAAAAAAATAATTGGAAGAATATTTGGTAGGAAACCTGTTAGTAAGTGACAGGAAAAGATGACCTGTCTAAAAGCAGAAACACAAATCTTATAGATGTTTATAGTTCATTATAACTAAAAAAGAAATTAAAGAAAATAAAGAAAACCCCCAAAACTGGACTCATAACTTAGTTTCTGTAGAAAATTCTATAGTTAAAATAAGATAAAGTAGCATTTCTATTGAAAGAATTTTATTTGTATGTTGTACTTTGAGGATTTTGACTTGATTCAATTTTTTTTTCTTCCAGTTGTACAAAAACCACTCATAGGTTCAGGTTATTAATCTTGGGATTATACACTTCTTAGACTAATCTGTATGTTGGTCAATTGACAAACCTTTGCTTGCAATGCTTTTCCTTTTTAAAAAAGGTATTTCTAGTGATTCAGGAAAATAGTGTCAGTTACATAGACTTATTTGCTGTGATGAGTTTTAGTAGTCACCTACCTTTTAGGTGGAAAAAGTTATTAAATTGTTTTCAGCACTTGTAAACATTACACAGCAATGGATAGTTTATATTTTTGTCTCTTTTTATTTGGGGGAGAATAGGATTTGGAAATGGGGGAGACAGACACAAAAGAAACATATAATAAGACTGTAGATTTAAAATAAAAATTCATTTCCTGTCCCACCCCCCATTTTCATGCACATTGTTTGGAACAAAACAAAAAGTATTCACATAGCTTGATAAAAATGTATCAAATATTTGACCTTTAAGAAAAGCATGCAACTGTCTTGCTAAGTAATTTTTAAATGCATATTTTATAATACTGGAGTCTCTGCATCATCATAATTTTTTTGAATGTAAGCATTTCTGTTCTGTTTTTCTAGCTGGCAACTGTACAAAGATGCCAATGAAACAGAATATGCATGCTTTTCTCATGACTGTTTCCTTCACTGCTGTTTCAATGTAACTTTTGATATGCATTCACATTTTTAGAGCTTGTTTGTCTCTCTCCTCCCCTCCCCATCAGCTTTTTAAATGCTCTTCAGTGAATATTGGTTTTCAAGTCTTACAATGCATTGTAATTCTATTTGGAGATACTGGAAGTAATTTCCTATATGCTGAAATAAAACTGTCTTAGAAATTGTGAGTTTTGACAGTTTAAAGGTGCAAAGGAAGGATAGGGAAGTACCCATAAAGAATGAAGTTGGAAGTCAAATCAAGATTTTGGCTTTTGCTTCTGAAGGCCAGATCTTAACCTGTAATAGAAGGCTCTGTTGTCCAAGTTCAGCTCCTGCACAGGATTTGAAGTATTGACTTATGGCTTCCAATACTGTACCAAGAAGATGAAAGGAATGATTTAAAAATGTGTATTTTTTCCTTTAAAGGTGGAAGAAATGGTACAAAACCATATGACATATTCCTTGCAAGATGTAGGAGGAGATGCCAATTGGCAGTTAGTGGTAGAAGAAGGAGAAATGAAGGTAAGTATTTGGTTTTTTGCTTAATTGATATAAGATGATATGCTGTGAAGACAGATATTTTTATTCTCTTTGAATACTATTACTAAGCAAGTTATGCTGTTAAAACTTCTCTCAGAGAATAGCATTGTTTTAATTACAACTGGAGACCACAAGAGCTACAGATTCTAATATATATATTCAGCAAAATCTCATGCAATACTTGCAATAGCTTTGTCTTTATGATTCCTTTCTCATTTTCCACTTAAAACTTTGTATCAACATGGTGTGTAAATTCAATGTACGAAAATGTTATATGGTAGCAAGTTACTGTCTGCTACTCCACTGTGCTCATAGTGATAAATAAGGTAGCTTAATTCAGGAGGGATAGGCAGAGCAGGTGAGGTGGGGGGGTGGCATTGTATCTAATGGAGGGGCTGGAATGTATGGAGCTCACAGTTGGCAATGGCACAGTTGAGAGCCTCTGGGTAAGGATTAAGGGACAAACAAATAATGGAGATGTCATTGTGGGAGTCTACTATAGACCACCTAGCCAGGACAATGATGCCAATAAATTAATCTTCAAAGAACTAAGGGACACTTCCAAATCAACTGCCCTTGTCCTTATGGGAGACTTCAATTTGCCAGATGTTAACCACACAACTGGTACAAACAGGTCCAGAAGATTTGGAGCTAAGGCAAAAAAGAAGGTGTATGGACATTGGAAGCAAGGTCAGGTGATGTGGGAGGACTACAGAGATGCTATGCTGCTCGCCACTGTAGGGAGAAAATTTGTGCAGTGAAAGCTCAACTGGAGTAGAATCTGGCCAGAAATGTGGGGGACAATAAAGAGAGCTTTTTAAAATCCATTAATAGCAAAAGGTAATGCAGAAATAACATCGACCTGTTACAGGATGAGAATTGTGATAAACAAAGTCTCGAGTTTCTATAAGTTTCGAATAGTAGTTTATTATATGGTAAAAGCAAGCAGCCGGCTGGGTGACAGAAATGGGACCAGTTTCCCAAATCTGCACACCCCTACTACAGGGTACATTTAGTATTTATCTTAGCTACTTCATGCATATTAATTATATCATATACATATACATTCTACAGGTTTTTGCTAAGTATTTAATATATGGGTTTTCTTACAGCTAAAGCTAAAAGGGTTATCTCTACAACCAGTCATAATTCATGTATTCTTGGACGAACAGGCGCCTAAAGATTTAAAGTTCTACTATATTTCATTCTTAGGATAGTAAGGAGGTTTTAGGCCTCTTGACCTTGTGAGGGTCTGTTTTATTTCTTTATGGGGGTGTAATTAAGTTTTACAATCCGTTTGTTTTATTTTGATGTAATCACCCATTTGTTTCACGAATCACGATTATTTATATATCACAGAATGGTCACCTCACTGTTCCAACCCGCTTAGGTACAGAGAGGCAAAGTGTGCCTCTATCCATAAATGCAGGGAGGAATTTAAGTTCGAATATACCCAAAAGCAAGATTAAGACACAAACAAGGTCAAATGTTGGTATCAAAATGATAATTCAACTTTATTAACTATAAAAAGAGGCAGAGAGAGAAAGAAGGAAAAATAGAGAAAAGTGGGAAAAGCTAAGAATAATTACAAGAAGCACAGGAAAGAGATTACAACCACCATGAACTGCGCTGGATCTCCTCCTTGGTGATGGGGGAGTATCTGTCGGTTCGTTCTCGGGTCTTTTGTCTCTGCAGCGTGAATGGAGTTCTTGCAGTGTGCGTAGGCCCTGCGGCGCGTCCTGGGTCCGGCCGGGTTGGTCGCGGTGCTGAGCGGGTAGTGCCGGGGCGCGGCTCGTGTGTGGGCAGCGGCGTGTGTGTGCCCACGGTGTGTGCCGGGCAGCAGCGTGTGCGTGCCCGCGGCGTGGAGGGGGGCAGGGTTTCTCGCCTTAGTCTGTGCGGCGCAGCCCCGACCTCTTCCCGGCTCAGTGCGTTTACGATCTCCGGAATGTGGAGATCCGCGAGTGTGGCGACTGCGGCGTATCCCGCGGCGCATGTGGGAGGCAGGGTTTCCTGCCTTCGATCTTCCGCGCGGCGCCTTCCCCCGCCCCGATCCCGCGGCGTGTCTTCGATCTCTTCACCGGGCGTCTTAGGCACTTGTTTATATAGGGGCGGAGGCGGCGTGCCTTACGGTGTATGGTAACAACGTAGCAACGACACGTTTAATATGAAACCAGTCTCAGTACCGCATGCAGGTGCTGCTGTCCCCCGACTCATGGTTATTTGAACAGTCAAAACAATTCACTTCTTGCAGTTCGAACAAAGACAAACAGCAGGCAATGACGGAGCATGCTCTGCTTCTGTCAGTGCTTTATGCTCACAAACGGGGACATAGACAAGGCAGAGATGTTTAATGCTTTCTTTGTTTCTGTCTTCAACAACAGTGATGGGCTAAGGGGGTCCTCCTGCCCTGAGCTGGAGGACCATGACTGTAAGAATGATAAACTCCCAGTTGATCCTGAACTTGTGCAGGATCTGCTGCTCCAGCTGGATCCATATAACTCTATGGGGCCTGATGAGATTCATCTGAGAATGCTTGAAGAGCTGGCTGATGTCATCACAAGGCCTCTCAATGATTTTTGAATGGTCTTGGAAATCTGGAGAGGTCTCAGTTGACTGGATGCTGGTTAACCTTGTCCCAGTTTTCAAGAAGGACAGGAGGGAGGACCCTGGAAACTACAGGCCTGTCAGTCTCCCTTTAGTGCCTGGTAAAATTATGAATAATACTATCCTGGGAGGTACTGAAAAACACCTGAAGGACAATGCAGTCATCGGTCACAGCCAGCCTGGCTTCATGAGGGTAAAGTCCTGCTTGACAGACTTAATTTCCTTTTATGACAATATAACCCACCTAGTTGACCAAGGGGATCCAGTTGATGTAATCTTTTTGGATTTCGGTAAAGCTTTTCATACTATCTCTCACAAGATCCTTCTGGACAAAATGTCCAGCACACAGCTGGATAAACACATCATGTGGTGGGTGAGCAACTGGCTGATGGGTCAGCCACAAAGGGTAATAGTGAATGGAGTAAAATCAGACTGGTGACCTGTCACTAGTGGGGTTCTGCAGGGTTCCATCCTTGGCCCAGTTCTCTTCAACATCTTCATAAATTACTTGGATGCAGGACTCAAAGGTATATTTAGTAAGTTTGCTGACAGCACTAAATTGGGAAGAGCTGTTCACTCCCTCGAAGGCAGAGAGGCCCTGCAGAGAGACCTCGACAAATTAGAGGGATGGGCAATCACCAACCATATGAAGTTTAACAAAGGCAAGTGCCAGATTCTGCACCTGGGATGGGACAACCCTGGATGTATGTACAGACTGGGGAATGAGAGGCTGGAGAGCAGTGCCACAGAAAGGGACCTGGGGGTCCTGGTCGATGGCAAGTTGAATATGTCAGCAGTGTGCCCTGGCAGCCAGGATGGCCAACTGTGTCCTGGGGTGCATCAAGAAAAGTATCACCAGCCCATCAAGGGAGGTGATTGTCCTGCTCTACTTTGCATTGGTGCAGCCTCACCTCAAGTCCTGTGTGCAGTTTTGGGCACCACAATATAAGAAAGATATAAAACTATTCGAAAGTGTCCAGAGGAGGGCTATGAAGATGGTAAAGGGCCTAGAGGGGAAGCCATATGAGGAGCGGCTGAGGTCACTTAGTTTGTTCAGCCTGGAGAAGAAGAGACTTAGGGGAGACCTCATAGAGTCTACAACTTCCTCACGAGGGGAAGCAGAGGGGCAGGGGCTGATCTCTGGTGACCAGTGATAAGACCTGAGGGAATGGCATGAAACTGTGTCAGGGAATGTGTAGGTTGGATAGTAGGAAAAGGTTCTTCACTCAGAGAGTGTTGAGCAATGGAACAGGCTCCCCAGGGCAGTGGTCACAGCTACAAGCCTGACAGAGTTCAAGAAGAGTTTGGACAACACTCTCAGACACATGGTGTGATTCTTGGGGTTGTCCTGTGCAGGGCCAGGAGTTGGACTTCAATGATCCTTGTGGGTTCCTTCCAACTCATGATATTCTGTGATTCTCTAAATCATTTTTGGAGTAGAAAATTTCAAAGTACTAGTATTTTCATGTGAAGTGCCATGCAAGAACATCTGCATTGGTAGTTACCAGAGAACACTCGCATGGCAAATTAGTCATTTGTTAGTCTTCTAGGTAAGTTTTTGTCTTAGTTTAACAAGATTACAACTTAGAAATTAAGAAACTTCAGGTGGAAGTGTGGAAAAGGAAAAGAAACAGCTTTTATTAACAAAATCTGAATAAACAACAAATGGTGCAGTCAAAAACTTTCAGAAGAAACAAAACAAAGTCCCAATTCCCCAGGTGGGGGGGAGAAACCCGCAGCAACCCGGGGGGGGGGGGGGGGCAGGACTCTCCCGTCAGTTCAATAGCTGCTCGCAACCACGTGTGCTTGCAGCCAGTACTGAAAAAAAAAGGACTTTTTCTCAAAGGCAGTCCAAAGGCAGAATACCTCGCTCTGAGATAGGTCGGTCTCTCTCAGTCGTCCTCCGCGAGGTGTCCCGTGGGGGAAAAAAAACTTCCTCTCAGGAAAAGAAAAGGAGGTGGCCGAACCCGGGCTCCCGTCAGCTCCCGTCGGCGGACCAAACCCAGAAACCCCCAAAGGACTCCCCCAGCTGTCCCTGCGGCAACTGCGCTTCCCCGGGAGACCTTCCCCTCTCCCCGCTCCCGCGCTACCCAGTACGTGCGGCTCTGCTCCGCCCCCACCCCCTCCCCGACTCCCCCCATCCCAGAAGAAACAGATGGGGGGGGCGGGGGGGACAGGGGACGGGACCCTAGGAAAAAAAAAATTCCAACATCTCTTCAAACCTGCGACAGTTTTTATCAAAGCTGAAGAAATTTTAAATAATTAAGACATGAACAGTTTTGACAATTTTCGTTCTGCATTTCTTTCTATGTATTTGACCATAGGTGTACAGAAGAGAGGTGGAAGAGAATGGAATAGTTTTAGATCCTTTGAAAGCAACGCATGCTGTTAAAGGGGTAACAGGGCATGAAGTTTGCCACTACTTCTGGAATGTCGATGTTCGTAATGACTGGGAAAGTAAGGAATCATTTCTTAAGCTTTGCATGTTTATCAGCAGTCATACAGTTTATAACACTGACCTAATATCTGTACTTGTTTACTGATGCATTTTTATTTCCTTTCCCCTTTAGCAACAATTGAAAATTTCCATGTTGTGGAAAATTTAGCTGATAATGCCATCATTGTTTACCAGATGCATAAGGTAATAACATTTCACCTGTATACACACCTTAGTGCAACATTCTGGGGCATATGTGTTCTAATCTATTCTGAAATACTTTAACATCTTAACAACCTAAAATATTATCCAGAACAACAGTTCAGAACAAGTTCTCTATTAAACTGCAACTTTGTAAATTTTTCAAAGTTGACTTGATAGCATAATTGGTTGTGTATGTATCTGATAGAACTTGTAATAACAAACAAGGACTGTTTTTAATCTCTTAAGTGTATCACTGGCAGCAACACAAGGATCATCTCAAGAAAACTGAAGCAATAAATTGACACTAACTACAAGGAAGAAACCCATACCCCTGTATCATATGTTTTGTTGCAATAATGCAAGCTATTGTTGACCATGATTAGTTGGCATCTGCATTTGCATTATGAGGTGTCCTGGTACAACATTTGTTCTTTTAACTTCATTATGGTTCTTTACCCCAACCAGTTCTGATGTAGCTTTACTGAAATGTTCATTTGACTTATAACCCAATAACTGTAACCTAACAGGTTCTAAAAAATTGAGAATGCGGTGTACACATTCATCTTTAATCTTGCATGATTGCAAGTATTACTATACTCAAATATTAAAAGAATTATTTTTTTTTATTGGTAATGTGGTTACCTTAAAACTGCTGTAATAGCAGACTCTGATTTTTGAATAAGTATGAACTGTATAGTCACAGAGTGTTGTGTTGTGGTAAAAGCTAGACATTTTTCCCCTATTGAGTGTCAGGAAAATGGCTTCTGTCTCACTAAAGTAGTAACTTTTTGAAATAATATTTGTTATAAATATTTCTTGCACTCTCACCATATTTATGGAGACATAAATAACTGTAGATGCATCTATTTAAACTTAACCACTAGTTCAGTTTGTAACTTACAAGTATTATTTAAAATGTAAACCTGAGACTGAGAGAACAGGAGGGGAAGTGCCTCTTCCTGGCTGTCTACTGAAAAAGTCATTGCAACTTGGTCCCTGCCTTTCAAAGGCCTTAAACTTTTGCCTTAACTTTTTAAAACTAAGTATAACCATATAACCTCATACACATCTGTACAACAGTTGTGTTTTGTTTCAGTTTTGAAAATTGCATGAAATTACTAACTTGAATAAACTTTTTTACTTTAATAACATGACTGACCTGTTTTGCCTTGTTTGTTGTTTTCCTTTGTCTAAGGATAGTAAGTACTTAATTTACAAAACTGGAAAAGCTTATATTCAGGTGTCTCTCTGCAGAGAGTGTGGCCGGCTTCTCAAAGGGATGTGCTGTATTTGTCTGCCATCAGAAAGATACCAGCATTCAGTGAAAATGATCCTGAAACATGGATTGTTTGCAATTTCTCTGTGGAACATGACAATGCTCCTGTAAGTATTATTTTCATTATATCAAGTTCTGCTTTAAAGATGCCATTTTTCTATTATGTGGTGTGATGCTCTTGCAATACAGAGGGGTGGGGGGAGAAGGGGGTGATATGCAAAATTACAGTTTGTTTATACCAGATGATGCAATGACCTGATGAAGGTATTTTGAGCCAAAAACTTTCTTATCTTATCTCAGCAGTTGGCATATCTAAGGCATTGCATGCAAATGGAAGCAAAATTTCCGGTGAAAACATTTTAAAGAATTGAGGTTCCTTCATATAGAATCAAATAAATAACTCTTCAGTATTGTCAGACATGGGGGTAGGCTTGTATAACTGAAACATAATTTTTTGGAGTGTCTTAGACTTTATACTAAATTAAAATGTTAACAGTCAAGTATGACGAAATACACCTAGTTCGAAGCTTATAAATGTTGCTTTCTTTTTTTTGACAGCTGAACAATCGCTGTGTCCGTGCCAAAATAAATATTGCTATGATTTGTCAGACTTTAGTAAGCCCGCCAGAGGGGAACAAGGAAATAAGCAGGGACAATATCCTATGCAAGATTACATATGTAGCTAACGGTAAGTCTAAAATTTTTCAGTACAACATTGATGATATATGCTAACTCTGGGGAGCTGAATACTGGAGAAAAAAAAGGCTGATGCAGTTTTCTGTTAAATTTATATATAGGATCACACTTGTGGTCTTCATGGTCAAGGACTCGAATTAATGTGCTACATCAATCACTGAATGGGATCTTTCATTGTGTGGCATTTTGGGAGCAATAAATGAAAGTAATGTGCAGCTCAGTTCTAAGTACAGAACCTTGGGATGGAGGGGGGTGGGCAGAAGAAATGTCTGCAACTGGCATGACTTGGCATAAACTTTTAGTTTTAGTAATAATCTGGTTTTTTTATTCATGTATTGCTGTCAAATTTTTCCACAATTCATGTTTGTGAAAGGATGTTTGCAAGCTGTATAATGTAGTCTACATACTTTTTTTTTAACTGACAGAATCTTTGACTGCAAAGTTAGCAAAACCAAACTGTATTGTTACTGTACTCAGTATTTAACAGTGTATTATAGTATTGGAACCTCATACCTATTATCTCCTCTGCTGCAGCTGCAAAACACCTTGAGTCTCTCACCTGCTTATTATTTTTGACCACCTATTACATGGCTTACTAAATAATCACAGTCTGAAAATTGGCTTCAGTAAATCTTTGCCATATAGGAGTGATACAACTTGTATTAAATCCTGTACAAATAATACTATATGTTGTTAAACTCTGGGGGTAAATTCCTTTGTTTCCTATTTAGAAGTTTCACAATTATTTAAAAAAATATATTTTCATTGACAAATTCTGAACTGTGATTATATGGGAAGTGGTATCTTTTTCAGCAAAGTACTTGACCTGTAACTTTAAGCATATTTTATAATCAGATCAAATTTTGTTTGAAGTGCTTTAAAAATAATTTGTAAGACATTGACTATGTAGCAATTCTGCAGGCAAATGCAGCAATTATTGAAAAGTTAAGGCTTGACTTCTATTTTCTTTGAAATGAGAAGTAGATTGAGTCTCTCTTTCTGTTGTTTTTTGGAAGTACTTAAAGAATATATTCTTTCATTTGGGCATTCCCCAAACATAACACATCACATTTAATGTTTTCTAAATAGTAGCATCGTAAAACTGGACTGAATTAGAGTATTAAGAGTAGAAAGTACTGCAATACAAACTGTAAGGGTATAAATTCTGCTGAATATTCTTTCCTGTTACTTCAGAAAGAATTGCAGGAATACAAAGTTAAATTTTCTTTTTTAGCTTTTAGCAGATTTGTTGTATTTCAATGTCTGGCTTCCTGTCTACTCGTAGTGAACCCAGGAGGATGGGCACCAGCATCAGTGTTACGGGCAGTGGCAAAACGAGAATATCCAAAATTCTTAAAGCGTTTTACATCATATGTGCAAGAGAAAACAGCAGGAAAGCCTATTTTATTCTAATATTAACAGGTATACTTTTTTTTTTTATTCTTGATTTACTGTTGTAAATATTTAAGGTCAAACAGAAGTAGGCAATCTAGAAATGTCTTTCTAGCATGAATTCAGTGCTTATATTTAATATATGTGGATGGTTACAGGCTCTTCAGGAGGGATAGGCAGGGCAGGTGAGGTGGGGGGGTAGCATTGTATGTAATGGAGAGACTGGAATGTATGGAGCTTACAGTTGGCAATGGCGCAGTTGAGAACCTCTAGGTAAGGATTAAGGGACAAACAAAGTGTGAGGGTCTACTATAGGCTACCCAGCAAGGATGACGACACTGGTGAATTATTCTACAAGGAACTAAGGGACACCTCTAAATCAACTGCCCTTGTCCTTATGGGGGACTTCAACTTGCAAGATATTAACTGGGAACACCAAGAGATTCCTAAAACACCTGGATGATAACTTCATGGTACAGGTACTAAATGAGCCGACTAGGAAAGATGCCCTCCTTGATTTGTTGCTTGTTAAGAGAGAGGGTCTTGTGAGTGGAGATTGCTGGCCATCTTGGCCAGAGTGACCATGAAGCCATTGAGTTTAAAATCTCCATTGACAGAAGGGAAAGTGCCAGCAAAACCTCAACTCTGGACATGAGGAGAGCAGACTTCAGGCTGCTCAGGGAACTAGTGAGTAAATGTCCCTGGGAAAATGCTTTTGAAGGTGCTGGAATCCATCAATGCTGGTCACTTTTTAAGCACCACCTCCTAAGAGCACAGGAGCAGGCAATTCCCAAATGTCAGAAGTCAAGCAGGCAAGGCAGAAGGCTGGCTTGACTGAGCAGGGATCTTCTTTTGGAGTTAAGGCAAAAAAAGAAAGTGTATGGACATTGGAAGCAAGGTCAGGTGACATGGGAGGACTACAGAGATGCTGCTTGCTGCTGTAGAGAGAAAATTTGTGCGACCAAAACTCCTTTAGAGTTCAAGCTGACCAGTGCTGTGAAGGACCGGAAAAAGGGCTTTTTTTAATGTTAACAGCAAAAGGAGAATCAGAGATAACATTGGTCTGTGACTTGATGAGGTCAGTCACCTCACAAACAGGCACACAGACAAAGCAGAGTTTTTTACTGCTTTCTTTGCCTCAGAATTCAATACCAATAATGAGGTACCTGAGCTGGAGGACCTTGACTATAAGAATGATAAACTCACAGTCATCCCTGAACTTGTGCAGGATTTGCTACTCCACCTGGATCCCTATAAGTCTATGAGACCTGATGGGATTCATACAAAAGTACTCAAAGAGCTGACTGATGTCATTGCGAGGCCTCTCTCAATGATTTTTCAATGGTCTTGGGAATCTGGAGAGGTTCCAGTTGACTGGATGCTGGCTAACATTGTCACAATTTTCAAGAAGGACAAGAGAGATGACCCTGGAAACTACAGGCCTGTCAGTCTCACTTCAGTGACCAGTAAAATTATGAAGACGACTATTCTGGGAATAATTGAAAAACACCTGAAGGACAATGCAGTCATTGGTCACAGCCAGCCTGGTTTCATGAGGGGAAAGTCCTCCTTGACAAATTTAATTTCCTTTTACAACAAGGTAACCCACCTAGTTGATCAAGGGAATCCAGTTGATGTAATCTTTTTGGATTTCAGTAAAGTTCCATCTTAAAGCTCAGGACTCCATTTTAGGACCAGTTCTGTTCAACATCTTCATAAACAACTTGGATGCAGGACTCGAAGCTATACTAAGTTTGCTAATGACACTAAATTGGGAGACTCTGTTGACTCCCTCAAAGGCAGAGACGCCCGGCAGAGAGACCTCGATAAATTAGAAGGATGGGCAATCATCAACTGTATGAAGTCTAACAAGGGCAAGTGACAGATTCTGCACCTGGGACAAGGCAATCCTGGATGTACGTACAGACTGGGGAACGGTAAGCTGGAGAGTAGCCCCATGGAAAGAGATCTGTGGGTTTGGGTTCATGGCAAGTTGAATATGAGTCAGCAGTGTGCCCTGGCAGCCAAAAGAGTCAACTGGGTCCTGGGGTGATCAAGCTCAGCATCGTGAGCCGGTTGTCCCACTCTACTCTGCACTGGTGGGACCTCACCTCAAGTCCTGTGTGCAGTTTGGGGCACCACAATATAATAAGAATATAAAGCTATTAGAGACCATCCAAAGGAGGACCATGAAGATGGTGAAGAGTCTATAGGGGAAGCCATATGAGGAGCGGCTGAGGTCACTTGGTTTGTTCAGCCTGGAGGAGACTGAGGGGAAACCTCATAGAGTCTACAACTTCCTCACGAGGGGAAGCAGAGGGGCAGGGACCGATCTCTTCTCTGGTGACCAGTGATAGGACCTGAGGGAAAGGCATGAAGCTGTGTCAGGGGAGGTTTAGGTTGGATATTAGGAAAAGGTTCTTCACTCAACAGGTGGTTGAGCACTGGAAGTAATCATTGCACCAAACCTGGTAGAGTTCAAGAAGTGTTTGGATGACAGTCTCAGGCACATGGTATGATTCTTGGGGTTGTCCTGTGCAGGACAAGGAGTCAGACTCAATGATCCTTGTGGGTCCCTTCCAACTCCGGATATTCTATAAGTCTGTGAAAATGGGTTTTTATCACTTTTCTATGTATGGCATAGGCTACCTCTATTTTTAGTTTCTATTTATTATGTCAGACTCCAAAAGTCTTAGTAATTTCATCTTTCTCTAAGAGGTAGCCCTGTAATGATTCTAATTTTTAATTGTATATTATTAGAGAACTAGTGTAGGTGAACCATTTAAAACATAGCTATCACGAACCAGCAGTTCAAGTGTGATAATTGCAGTGCTGATACTGATAAGGGGTTTAACAAGTTCTTGTTTTCCTATTAGTGTTCAAAGTTTTTAGTACTGTATTTTGTCTTTGCTATCTGCAGTGATCAGAATAAGACTGGGTGAGCATTCCACCTTGAAGTGACTGATAAGGGCATAGAGCACTCCATGCTGGAACAAAAGATCTACAGTCTTTTTATGACTGAAGTTCTAGGCTTTGTACACTGAAGTAAAGAAGCAGTGCAACACCATGAGGCTGAATATTTAACACTAGCTCTCTCCTAAATTTTCTTGTGGAGTCAGTGTATAATTATCAATAGATGTTTTGAGAACCTGTATATGGCTATTTTATTTGATTGTTTTAGCAGAGGAAGAACGTGTACAGTTTTGAATCACCAACATGGGTTACTGCTTTAATTTGAAACAACTTGCAGAATTTCGCTGTCAACATTCCTAAGATACTAGTGCAGTTTTTGTGTGTCTAAAAAGCACAAAAGACAAATGCACATATAGCATACTCTATGTGCTTTATGTGCACAAAGATCTATGTGGTATTTTGAGTGGGAGGGAGGGAGTTCAGTAAATCCTAAGTGACTTATTGAGAGGTTTTGTTTTGCTTTGTATAATCATAGTTCATCGCTGTTTGTTTCTATAATGAATCATCTTGTTGCATAAAATGTCAGGTAATAATCGAGGACTGTCAATATCTTTATGACTGCCTTTTCTATTGTCTTACTCTTATGAAGATCTTTGGCTCTGAAGGAGTAAGAGTGTGAAAAGCTTTATTTTTTCCAGATATATTTCTATTGGATTTTTTAATTATGTAATATGTGCTGCAGAATTTTTGTTATTAAACATGATCCAGAAATTTCTAGGAAGATTCTGTATTAGAGGGCAAAAGAGTGCCTGACAGCTAGAAGTCATCTGTTCATGATACACATGGATTGCTTTCTTGCATGATATCTGGGGCTTTCCCGAAACTGTGAGAAGGTACACTCTAATATTTATTGAAATAATTTGGACTACATAGGACAACGTTCCTAGCCTAGAATGAGGATGAGTACATTATTTTCATATCCTGCATGTGTTTTTCTCATCTTGATAAAGCCATGCTATGAGGTGCATGTAGAAAATAAGTTGCACTGATACTTGCCTCTTAATCAAAAACTCATCAGAACTGTAAGGATGTATAGTTCATATTGGAAAGTTCTATTTCCTGTGAGATTTTAAGTGTCAGATATTTGCCAGCCTCTGATTCTGGAGATGCTCATTAACAGAAGACTCTGGCAGACTGGTACTGACTTTGAGGTCTTTTATCCATGTCCTGTAGTTGGAAATTCTTCAGAGGCTGATGGGTGTTTCACTGACCTGTGTATCTCAAGAAAAACGTTCCAGATTTTTTTTTCTTAAAAGAAAACTGAAAGTCTTGTTTGATATAGTATGATAGGTACCTGAAAATAAATAAAAATAGTAACTTAAAAAAGATTTGATTAATGATTAAATGTGATCTGCGCGGTGTTGAAAATGCTACTTTATATGTTCATCCTCTCTGTAGAGATGAAATCATACATAACTCACAATTACACATGCATGCAGTCTTCATGCTCCATAACTTTTTCGGTTTTATTTACCTTTTTCTAATTGTGTGCATGGAATATGCCTTATTACAGAGTTATTCTATTCATTTGAATATCTAGAAAAGTGCCTATATGTTAAAGTTAGTAAGGCAAATAAGATGAAAATTTGTACGTTTACTACATCACTAGTGAACATTTTATATAGTAATGTTAAAAAAATTATCTCAAATATACTTCTTCATTTTAAGATCAATCAAGTAGTGGTTAATTCCACCATAGCTACTGATGGGAATGTAAAGAAAAAAAAGTCCGAAATATGAAGAGTTTAACTCCTTATTTGCCTTTTCTTGTAATTGTTGAACACAGGCAAGTAACTTTTTTAATTTAATTGGATGGTTTTATTTTGCAAAGATATGGGAAGTTTATTATATATAATATATCATTAGTTGCATTTGCACTAAATGTGATGTACTTTTGCAATTCTGTAAATAAAATTAAACTATAGATAATAATTGTAAATAATATTTTGCTTTTAGATAAAAGCACTGGTACTTCACTACAGCTAGCCCTGCCCAATCCGAGTTGTAAGAGGCTTCTTAAAGAATATGGAAGGAGTTGCAGGATTGAG